TATGAGTGGGCCTCTTATCAGGTAGTTGTTTGCTTACTTAGTCATGATAACTTTAAGACGCCATATAGAAAATAAAAATTAAGGGGCTGGAGAGATGGCTCAGCAGTTAGGAGGACTGACTGTTCTTACAGAAGACCTGGGTTCAAATCTCAGCACCCACATGGTGGCTAGCAACCATCTCCACTTCCAGGGGATCCAACACCCTCTTCCATCCTCCATGGGCACTGCATGACACAGGTGCACTTACACACATGCAGGCATAACAACCATACACATAGTAAATAAATACAATATTTTTAAAAATAAAAAAAGAAAGCCAGTCATGGTGGCACACGCCTTTAACCCCAGCACTTGGGAGGCAGAGGCAGGCGGATCTCTGTGAGTTCAAGTCCAGCCTGGTCTACATAGTGAGTTCCAGGACAGCTGGGGCTACAGGGAGACCCTGTCTCAAAAAGACAAAAAATTTTAAAAAAGAAAGAAAATGAAATTTAAAAAAGGAGAATTCCTGAGGGTGACATTTCACTAAACTTACAGTAATTTATTAAGTCTGATTACTTAAGCAGTTGTGTAAGGGTCTGTGAGGTATTTAGCTGAGGCAATTTCTTTAAAATAAAACATATAGGTCACATAGTGCTAATAAAGTATGTTGATGAATCTGTGAGTATTTTGCCCTGATTATGTCTCCTTGGGGAATGGAGAACTCATTAGCATGAGCTCCTTCTCAGTCCTTCCTGCCTTGATCCTCAAGTACTTTCCAGACAGGTTTGGCAAAAAAGGTGACCAAAATGTTTGCATTATGGCCAAGTTTCAAATGAATGGTTCTTCTACCCCACCAATCTCACATTTGACATTGTGTAGTAGTAGAAGCTGCCATGCTTCCTTAGGTTTACTTTTCTGTCTGAAAACTCTAAAAGGGTAAATTTGGAGGAGTGGGCCACAGACAGAGCTCTCTATAAAATCTCAGCCCTTCATATTCAACTGCAGATGCATATGTCCCAACCCAGGGGAAAACCCTCAAAGCTGAGAAGTTGTTACATTGGAAACAACAGGTGTGCATGTGTGTGTGTGCGTGTGTGTGCGTGTGTGCGCGTGTGTGCACATAAGAGAGAGGGACAGAGACAGAGAGCTGTTTACTTTCTGAAACAGTAAGTAGTAAAACAGGTTGTTTAAAGTTCCTTGAACAAGAAAATTGATTTAAAATTATCTTCCTATAATCATACCTTGTATGTGTTTAGAGTGCTTTGAAAAGTTCAAAGCATTTTCACATTTATATATCTCATTTGAACTTTACCACAAGCTTACGAAGTCTAAGCACCCTAACCCACCATCAACACTTGACAAACCTGAGGCACAGGATGTCAAGAAACTTGTGTTGAGGTCATATTACCAGTTGGTGTCACAACTAAAACCAGAACACCAGGATTTTGAAACTTAGGCCTGTGTTTTCTTGGCAGAAAGTATCTCTGCCACAGCTTGATTTACCCAGAGCTCATGTGGAGATTTGTGGCTGCTATTTAATTGGAGACTACAAATCAGGCATACCTAAAGAGCTCCACAGAAAGAAGATTGTGTCTTTTTGAACATGACTGTGTTAGGAAAGGGAGGCAGAGATGGAGTCAGTTGTTTTGGACAATGCAAATTAAAAACAAACAAAAACACTTTGTAATCAGTTTCAGTGTATCTGAGGGGCAATTCACTCATTAAATTGTCTATTTTTTTTTTTGAAAGATCTATTAAGTGCTTTTCTATAAAAGACTCTGCTTAGCATTTTGGAAAGATATAAAAAATACATTTAATTTGGATATGTATGCTTTGAATTATACAGATAATCTCTGTTTTATTCATTATTCAATACCACCTGGTAAATGAAAAGACTTCCAAGCAGAGAAGAAAGATAAACAAAAACAGATGATGAAAGATACTGGGAAACTAATTCCCATCAATTCTCTCCTGGCAGGAGGCTCCCCGCCCCCCAAATCAAGGTGATAAAAACTGTCCTGCCAAGTACATAAAACAAAACATTTCCTATGTCATCTAACATATTTTAACTCTAATGCTTTCTTAAAATTTAGGAAATTGGTCTTAAGTTGGTCCCAGGTTCTCCCCCAGGAATACTTGATCAAGACTGAGGAGAATATACAAGTTTGCTGCCCAAGGCTTTCAATATTCTAAAAGCATCTCTGAAAACCAGAAATACATTTCTATAATGCTTCCCTGGCTCCAAAAAGAACTTTTCCTATTGGCAGGCATGCCTAAGGATGCAGACAAAAGCAAAGACACCAATGTGCACAAAGAAACAGACCACAGGCCGGTTGACACCCCTGTCATTTGAGTAGAAAATAAACAAGAGTTTGCTAATGGGGGGCTGGAGAGATGGTTCAGTGGTTAGAGCACTGGATGCTCTTACATAGGACCTGGGTTTGGTTCCCAGCACCCACATGGCAGCTACCAGCCATCCATAACTCCAGTTCCAGGGGATCCAGCACCCTCTTCTTGCCCCTGCTAGCATTGCACCACATGGGTGCACTTAAATACATGTAGGCAAAACTCTCATACACATAAAAATTAATCAATTAATTTATAAAAGGTTTTTGCTAATGGGAAATTGTGTGCCCCTCCACCCCCACATGTCTGTTCTCTCCATCCTCTAGGGAGAGTGGCCTTTTTTTTTTTTTTCCATTTATCAGTCCCTCAACTAATTTCTTTACTTTCTGGCACAAACAGGTCCCAACCTGAAGGCAAAATTTGTGTTAATACCTATTTGTTTGATATATTTCTTTAGTTTGTCCTGTATATACACAAATAGTGTCATTGAATGTAACTACTTTGCTTTTGTTGTGACAAGTCCTGCTCAGCTCCCAAAGTGCACATACAAAACAGTGTGTATTTCCCTATGCATTATTTACTTGCCTTGTATATGCGATGAGTGGGGATTCAGCATTGAATCCAGCTCTGTCCCTAAAACTGTCCCCATTTTACTTCTCTGGGTTTCCATGTTTTCCACTTATAATTATAGGTGTGCTCTAAAATCTGTTCCAGCTCATCAGATAATGCTCCAACTTTGAAATAAATTTCAGTTACATTTAGCATATGCCAGCACGGTGAGGTGGTACTCACCTATAATCCCAGATACTCAGGACACAGAGGCAGGAAGGCAGTTTACAAAGACCTTATATCAAAATAAATATTAAAAAGAGGCTAAGGATTGCTTTCAGTTGGGAGAGTGCTCATCTAGCATGTGCAAGGTCCTAGGTTCAATGCCTAGCACAGAAAAAAAATTTTTTTTCTAAATATTTTATTTCTATTTTTATGTATATGAGTGAGTTTATTGTCTGTATGTATGTAACTGCACCCGTGTTGTGCAATGCCCATAGTGGTCAGAAGAGAGCTTCGAATTTCTGTGGAACTGGAATTAAGGGTGGTTGTTAGCCATCATCTGGGTGCTGGGAATTGAACCCGGGTCCTCTGCAAGAGCAGCCTGTGTTCTTAACTGCTGAGTCATCTCTCCAGCCCCCCAAAAAAGTTTTCTTTTTTTTTTTTTGGTCTTTTTCCCCTAGCTCCAGCTGGCCTGGCACTCATTATGTAGGCCAGGCTGGCCTTGAACTCACAGAGATCTGCCTGCCTCTGCCTCTGGAGTGCTGGGATTAAAGGAGTGTGCCACCATGCCTGGCTGAAAAAAAAAGTTCTTAATAGAGATCTGTACTTTGTAGAAATACAAAGAACAAGCAGTATATATATATATAGTCTGTATTATATATAGACATATTATAGTACTCCATCACTTGGTACCCTTAAAAGTAAGGTTCTGCTTCAGAAAAATTGACCACTGTTGGGAATACAATCCTGATTCAGACAAAATTGTTTATTAACTTTACAAAATGATTATTTGATTTGTAAAATAATTTCAGGATAGCAAATAAACTCTGTCCATATGTTTAACATGAAGATTTACCTTTTTTCCCCAGTCCTGTGGATCAAAGCCAGGGCCTTGCACATGACACACAAGCTCCACTGATGATCACATTCCTAGCTTTCCAACTTTATGTTTAATCCACATTTTCATAAAAAGTAACAAAGTGGAACACACTTGCATCAAACAACCAAAATATATGAATGTCATAAAATCACAGTATTTTGGAATTGTAAAGGCTCCATTAGAATTTTATTTAGTGGAAATTTCAACCCAGTTTCCACATTTTACAAAATAAAGAGCTAAGGATCAAATAATGCTAGTTACTTGCTCAATACCATACAGGTGATTGGCAAAGGCAGTGGAAGGAAAAATCAATGGCAGAATAGTCTCCATATTTTTACTCCATATTCTTACTTGAAGACCACACTACATTCACTATGACAAAAACATAGTATTAAAAACAAAAGTTGTGGTTATAATGCAGACTCCTGCCAGAGATAGCACATTTTAATAATGTAAATAATAGATCCACAAACATTTAAAGTAAATGAAGCCACTTGTGCTTTTAAATTTTGTTGAATTGTGAGTTTTCACGGAAATTGCAGTTTCCTGCTATCATGTTCTAAAATTATTTTAGATATTATATTTTTTCTACAATATTGTGATTTTTAATAACATGAGCATGAGTTGAAATCTATCTATCAATATACTGAATTCTATGTGAAATCTATCAATATACTGAATTCCACGTGGAATTTCAGGCAAACGTATAGGTGTTAGCAGGATTTGAATCCATTGCTCAAACTCATACAAATGAGTTTTACATTATTATTCTTTCCCCTCTTGTGGTAAGTACTAAATGGCCTGTCTTTCTTTGGTTATTTAGTAGAGTGAATGGAAATTAAATATTAGCACAAGCTGCTGACCCGTTTCAAGGCACACAGTTTTATTTTTGTCATTAACCCCAATATTTGAAGTAGGCAGGGCTCTTTAAAACTAGTGCTTCCAGCGTTTCATTGACTCGCTCTAAAATCAGTGCCTCGTCCCTCCCGTCACCTAGTTAATTTTAACCTTGACCTCTCACAGTTGTACACCTTTGCTCAGCCTAGAAAAACTCCCGGATCCCATCCTCTCTGCATCCTAGGAAGCAGCAGTGGAGAGGGAAAACAAAACCCATTCCTTTAAGAAAGATTCCGCCTCCTCTCTTCTAAGCAAGCGCCTCATGGTAATTGTGGAGTCTCTACTAAGTCACACACTCTACTACTCAGCATTGGGAGCCGCTGCCGCCGCTGCTCCGGGGCTGCAGTGGGTTTCTGTGCAGCACTGCAGAATCCACACCTAGGAAGGGAAGACAGACACACAACGTCTACTACCCTGTACACAAGGAAGCTGTGGATCGTCTGCGGGTAAGCACATCTCCTACCCATTTTGTTCAGGAACCGTGGGAAAGGGAATGCTCATGGAAGACACACTGTTCATCAGCCATGCTTAAAATTGTTATGTGAATTTGTCTTCCTTTGCTGGTGGTTGGGGTCTAGATTTCTGTCCGGCAAATGTCCTGTGCAGCAGAGACTATTTATTATCTGATATGTGCCCTTAGTTTACTTCTTTTTTTTTTTTTTTTTTTTTGCTAGTCATAAAAGGCTAACCTTGATGCATGCAAAGCTTTTCTTTTGCTTTTTAAAATGCAAGAAAACATACAGCCACTCCCAATATCTCTCAAACACTGCAGATATTTTTAAATGGCAACGAAAATGACTGACTGAGCGTTTTCTAACACCGTTTTCTCCTCAAGGCTAGCAAGTCTTCCCTGCGATTGTTTAGGAGAATTTTAAAATAATACGGCATGATCAGGTTTGGGGGAGATGGTGGTAGACTAAAAATTCTATAGCTTTAGTCCAGTGGAGAGAGAAAAGGATAAATGAATCGCAGTGTGTGCCAAGAATGAGGTTCATTTGCCACACTTTGTATGTGGGAAGAGGAAACTATATTTTAATTAGCAGAATTTTAGGGAAGAGGGAGGGGATGAAGATGAGGGGGCTGGCGCGAAGTATTTGAGGGGGAAGAGAAGAGTCTGCAGATGAGGAAGGAAATGTGGACTGTCGCCAGTGCCTTGGAAACGGCAATAGATAAGGGTGGAGAATGAAGTTTGTGGTGTGTTAGGGTGAATCACTAGAATGGCGCTCGGAGGGGTGTGCTTGCGGGTGAATTCGTGCCGTGCAGGACGTGTGCGGGAGGGATGTGCAAGTCGTGGGTGGTGGAGGAAAGCGTGTGCTGGGAGGTCTATTTCGAGAATAGGATGGGGTGAGGAGCACATCTGGGCGGGGGTGGGCAGCCCAGGGTCACCTGTGGAGGGATCCCAGGCCTGCAATTGAGTGCTGCAAAGTTTGCTTGGCCTCAGATTAATTTTGAAGGCTGCTGGAGGAGCCTGGGCTTTCCATCTCCCAAGGGGGTCAGATCTCCTAAGGTCTACCAGGCGAGGAGCCAAAGTAGGAGTGCAGAGTTTGGATTGGTCCAAATGGAGAATAATTAAGGGCCCTAGCCCAGTCCCTCCGTGGTGGAGGGAGGGAGGCGCCTCCAAAATCAAATGTGCTGATAGGGAAATCGAGGCCCCTCCTGTGGGGAGCGTGCGGAGGTCGAACCCTAGTGGCCTCCCCAGAAAACCCAGCAGCCTCTGGGAGCCGCCGAGGCTCAATCCGAAACGGCTCAGCCGCCTAGGGTGGGGAGCGCCTTCAGACTCGGGGAGGCAGGTATTTCCCAGGCGTCCCCCCTCCCGCTTTCGGTCCGGTTTCCGTCGGGGTCGTTTCCCTCTCCAGCCGCAGATCTCAGCTGCAGAGCAAGATGAAGATGTTGCAGAGCCACCAGGCAGCTGCCCCGCAACAGGCCCTCCGCCTGCGGAACATGGAAGCCCCCACCGCCGCAGCTGCACCGACTCCGAGCGCGCAGCCCCTGAGAGAGGGCCACGGGGGTGAGGCCAGAGCTCCGGAGGAGCGCCCAGGGCGGGGCCTGGGAGTGCGAGGCCCTGTCGGAGGCGGGGCCTATCGGAGGCGGGGCCCGGACGCTCGGGGGCCGAAGGGCGGGGCCAGAGGTTCTTGGGGGCTGCAAGGGGCGGGTCTGTATAGGGCGGAGTCAGTGGTTCTTGGGGGGTGGGGCCTACAAGAGGCGGGGCCAGGACGCTCGCGGGCGGAAGGCGGAGCCAGGAGCGCACTCTCGGGGCTTCGGGAACAGACCCTCCATGGGGCGGAGTCAGGGTCACTCGGGGCGGGGTCTATGGAAGCGGGCCAAAGGGCGGAGCCAGGGGCGCGCTGTGGGATTAAGAGGGCCGAGCCTTCAGGGGCGGAGTCATGGGTATTGGGGCGGGGCCTTAGGGGGCGGGACCAAGGACGTTCAGGGGAGGGGGGCAGTTCGGCTAGTCCCGCCAGAGCGCGAGGCCCAGCCGGTAACGGTCGCCAATGCGAAGGGCGGGAGGGAAAGGAAGGGGTTTAAATGATCTGTTTTGAAACGGAGCGGGAGCTAGACGCGTTAGCGACCAGGTGTCGCCGTTTCCGTCACACGGCACGGCGTCCAGGTCCCTCCCTCCTCACGCCCCGTCCCCTTTCCCGGCCCTCCCCTCAGGAGCCAGCGAAGCTTAAGAGGCGGCTCGGCGGACGGGCGGCCGCTGCAGCGCGGCGGCCGCGGAGAAGGAGGCTGGGCGGCATTGAGCCGGCCGCGCTGCGAGGTAATCCTGCGAAGAGCGGAGGGCCGGGTTCCGCCGCTCGGGCGGCGACCCACGCGGGGATCCAGCCGGGCTTCCCACGCGAGGGGACTTGTGCCTGGCCGGCCCCGCGGCCCTCTCCTGGAGCCCCGGGCGCCGACGTGCGGGCGGGCGAAGGTCCAGGGCGCTGCAGGGAGGGCCGCGACGGTCGGGGGAGTCCCCCGCTGCCCCCGGCTGGGCGGGGAGCTGCCTTGAAGCCCTGGGGACCCCGATGGTGCGCCCCGGGCGGTGGGGCGTTCCCGCGCTAGGAAGAGGAGCAAGAGGAGTGTTGGGTTGTGATTTTCTTCTCGTTAAAAAAAACAAAACCAACTTCTGTCAGAAGTTGAAAGTGTGCAAGCACCTTATCTTATCAGCGTGTCCCTCCCCAGCACACAGCCAGGGCGCGCACACACGGTGTGCCGCTTCAAGTATGCATGTTAAATTGCTCTCCCTGCGCGGGGTGACAAGCAGAGTTGGCAGCAGATCTGGTTTGGTGGTGTTTTGGGGCATTTCCAACCTCTCTGGAGGTATGTAATAGCTGAGGCCACAGACAGTATAAAGTAGGCCTCTATTAAAATGGCAAGAATGGCCTCAGGTGAACTTTTTTGTTGCAGAGATTTAATTGCAAGTAGGTGCCGGTTTAAAATGGGAGTGTAAGGAAAACCACTAAATATCCTTGGCACATGTGCTGCTGGAATTGACCTGCTAGAGTGGTGTGGGATTTAATTTAGCCTAGAGGCTTTGAGTGAGGATTATATGCAAGGCTTGGGAAGGAATTGATAAGACACTGGGGCTGGGGACCAGCTATAAAAACATGTGTGAGTTCTTTACGTTGAATTATGCAAATTTTATATTTAGCAGTATGAAATGGTTGCCTTTCTTGGAATGATTCCATCTACATCTTGCTGAAAAACATACTGATTTAAGTTTTAAAAGATTTGTAGTGAGCGTTAAAAGAGTTAAGACTAAAGTAACTTGCCGTTTTGAAATGAAGATACTTGACTAGTAAGATCTATGTAATTGAGGTACAGGACTGACTCATTGATATAGTTGTTACTTTTGGAGCACTTATGGAAAGATTTTATGTCTAAGTTTCCATTGCATTTGTACTTGCACAGTAATTGGTTTTCTTTTGCTTAAATTGATCAGATTAATTCTACCAAGGAGCACCAGAAAAAAAAAAAAAGATCGCTATTCTACAATCTTCATCTCTTTTTTTGAAACATTTTATTATTTTTATTTTATGTGTATGAGTAATATATTGCCCGCTTATATGTGAGTGCACCCATGTTGTGCAATGCCACGGAGATCAGAAGAGGGCTTCGGGTTCCCCTGGAACTGGAGTTAAGGACGGTTAGTGGGTGCTGGGAATGGAACCCAGGTCCTCTGCAAGAGCAGTCAGTGCTCTTAACCGCTGAGCCATCTCTCTAGCCCCCAATCTTCATCTCTTTAAAGATAGAACTCAGTCTTTTGTTAATTTAATATTGACCAAGCATACTGACGTGTTGGTAATAGCCACTTCTAAAGAGAAAACAGTAATGCATATTTAGAATGTTGTAAGACCTTTAATATAGTGCAGCTCTTTGCATGTATAATATCTGGAAATGTTTGGTAAACATTGGACATATGACATAGGTGATCACATGACACCTGGAAATATTTGTTCTGCAGGATACTTTCAGAATGTACAATTTAGTCAGTGATTGAAAACTAACGGAAAATTATACACTTTACTGTTTCTAACCTTTTTTATCAATAATATTTTGCTGGAATGAATGTGAATTTTCAATGATGTGCATTTTTTGTTGATGTATATTGTTTTTGTAACTTCACTTCTGTAGTTGATATATCAGGCAAATTAATTATAAATTAGAAGCAATGTTTACAGTTATTATAGGTAGCTGATATGTCCTTCGGTGATAACTTAGTGCAATATAATGTCAAGGAAAAATGCTTAAAACAATACATTAATAATGGCTGTACAACTTGTCTGAAAGACACAAGTTGCTAATCTATTTCTTACCTTAACTACTTTTTGCTATAATTAATATTTAATGCTATTTAATTCTCATTTGAAAATATTAGCATAGTAGAATTTGAAAGAAAAACTTCATGTCTAATCAATAATGCTATCTTTTCTTTTTTAATCATTTTTAAAAATTTTTAATAACTACATGATTAGAAGAAGCATTTCATTACAGATTTAACATATTCAGTAACACACTCCAGAGCAAGAGTACATCTCTTTCACAAGTGGGTGCAAGTTTCTAGGTTCATAGTTGAATTAATACAGTTATACAGTATTGAACTCAGTATAAGCCCTGTAAGACATAAAATTGAATGAGTTTTTTAACCTTTAAAAAAGATCTCCATTTCATTTTAGAATATATTGTTCCTTGCAGAAAGACTCGTTTTTGCTACTAACACTGAGATGTTGGCGCTTGCATCTCTAATCTGTATGCATCTGATTATTACTAGTCATAATCAGTTGCACTTGGATCCTTGGCGCCTGTGTATGTCTATGAAGTCATCGGGCTATCTTTTCTTTTAAATATAAGTGTTTATGAAATTATTCAAGTCCAGTTTGACATTCACTGAACAATCATAGACTGTGTCATGTCACTGAAAGTCAAAATGAATATCTTAATACTTTATTTCATGTTTCCTATGTTA